TATGATTTCGTAGAGTTGCGCTTCTCCTAGATGTGGTCATATATTACTACTTTCTTTCTTTTTACGACCATACATTAAATTATGTGCATTTAGTACTCCTAGTTATAATTTAGAGATTATCGTCTTTATCTTTTATACATGTAGTATATACGCACAAATATATACGTGTCATCGATTGGGTTGAATTCGAATACGAGAGTATGATAGTTAAAATACGAAACTCGTCGGTTAAGTTCTTTTTCGTATCAAAATTGTCCCAGGTGAAATAGCTTCGAATTGAATTCATGATACATATAATACTAGGGCTGGGACTGGGTTGGGTCGGTCTATTACCAGCCTAAACACCGACCCATCCGTCAAACCATTTTTGCTCAAATTTGAAAACCGTTGCCGACCCAACATTTGTGGGTCGGTTGATGGTTGGCAACCATATATTTGGTTTTCCGGAATGGGTCGGTTGATGGTTTATACCCGCCACCTAGTTCACTTAAAAAAAAATTCAAATTTTGGAGTAAAAATATCCACATTTTGCGTAATGCCGCGATGCGATCATCATTTATCAGTTCCAAATAATTAATAACAATTTGAAGAAAAAATATGATTAGGAAATTCAAAGTAATTTCAAACATGCACAAGAGATTTAGGCTCCGTTTTATAAAATTAAGCACTGAACACTGAATGCTGAATAGTCATCAGAACGATTAAGAGCGGTGTCTGAATACTGAATGCTGAATATTTAAGTTTGTTTGGTAATTGTATTATTTTTATATCTGAATGTTGTTATTTTACTATACTGTCCTTCAAAATAATTCAATTTGATTTTATTAATTTAATTATCAATAATATTTAAGTGGATATATTAATATACTTATTTTGAATTGTGCTTTTTCTTTTTGAATTATGAATTGTGCTTTAAAATATATTAGATTATATTCTTTCATACTATGAAATACGTACATAAAGAATATAAATCTATGGCCATAGGTTTTCATTAAATATGTAACGGAGAGAGAAATGAAAATTTACTTCATAATAATTAACCAATCTTATACTTTCTTAGAAACTATATATTAAAAAATACTGCATCTTAATATCCATCATTTTATGATAAACAATGTATTTGTCAAGAAATTAAGCATTCTTTCAACTTATATATATTTTCAAGAAAAAACAAAAAAGTAAATTAATAACTGCATGGAAAAAAGTGCAGCCTAAAATTCAATGAATTGTCTACACGGGGAATAGCTTGATTCACCCAATAGTAAACAATAAATTATTTAAGGAAGAATTGAAGAAAAAGGTGGTTCAAACACTGTGTGCACAACAAGGATAAATAGTCTAAAATCCATTCAGCATAATGTTGAATGAATAAGCCCAATTATTTGGGCTGAATCGGCCAGCAATTAATGGCTTTATTCAGACTATCTTACCAAACACTCTTAACAGTATGATGCTGATCGAATCAGTATTTTTTTCCATTCAGAGGTCATTAAGCACCTATCAAACGGGCCCTTAGTGGGGTTTTTTGGGCTCTTTGTTTAAGTTTGGTCATAAAGAAACTGGTGGAAGATTTATGTCAAAATTGTTTCCTTTGTTGATTGTTTTAAAATTTAAAATACTAATTATTTTGATAATTTCAATAACCACTTAAGAGAAAACGGGCTTTATTTTATATTTTAATAAAATTTTGAATAGTATAGTTGGATAACCGATAATTATCGGTCAACCAACTTTTGATAATATTAGAAATCACCAACCGACCCATTATAGATGGGTTGGTTGAAATTTTCGACCCGATCCAATGGGTCGGTTAAAAATTGATTATCCGCCTAAAAATATGGTCGGTAATGGGTCGGTTGGTGGATAAAAACCAATCCAGTCCCAACCCTATATAATACGATCTGTAAAAAATAAATTAATATCCAAATTGACACTCAAATTGCAACCGGGATCCAACAAACATGAATATATCTAATGATCGGGTAAGTTTAGTTCATTGGTCTACTTAAGGTTTATTTGGTGCTACATCCGGTGAAATACACTGGGTAATTATTAATCGTTAATCTACATATAATCACACACGCATTTATATGTATATGTATGAGTGGGAAGTTATTTCATAATAATCACCCGATGCAGCATCTCAATGATAGTCTACTAAAACTTGCCTTAAAAGAAATAAAAAATAAAATAAAATAATGCGTGGGACTCCACGAGAAGACACGTCGCAATTTCCAACTTGCTAATATAACAAAAGAAAACTAATAATAAATTAAAAAAAAAAGAAGACATAAATTGAAGTGTTCACATTGTCTGCAGTCTTACCTTCTCCTTTCTCTCTCCATTGACTTTTCTATATAAATAACCCTAAACGAGCCACCATTTCTAAATATATACATATATATATATCATCACAGAAAAAAAAAAAAAAAAAACTAAAATTCATCGTGTTGATGAGAAGAAGAAGAATGGCTGCCATGAAAGCAGTTCATGAACAAAATAATATGGGCCTGCAAATCAGCAGCAAAGACAAAGATCAAACCCACCTGCACAGATCATCTTCACTAGTTCTCGTTGAGAAAATCGATGGCCTTATTAGGGTATACAAAGACGGCCACGTGGACCGACCCCAGATCGTGCCATGTGTCGGTTGCTCGTTGGCTCCTGACCTCGGGGTCACGTGCGGGGACACCATCATTGACAAGTACACCAACGTATGGGCACGTGTCTATGTCCCAAGGAAGAAGAAGCAGCAGCAGCAGCAGCTTCCTTTGCTGGTCTATTTCCATGGCGGTGGGTTTTGTGTCGGCTCCGCTTCTTGGATCTGCTACCACGAATTCCTCGCGAAATTAGCCGCCTCGGTCAACTGTGTGGTCGTGTCGGTCAATTATAGGTTGGCGCCGGAAAACCCACTTCCGGCGGCGTACGACGACGGCGTTGTGGCCCTGGGTTGGTTAAGGAAGCAACAATTCGCCGGCGGCGGCGAGTGGTGGACTGAGAGGTGTGATTTTTCGAGTGTTTGTTTGGCCGGTGACAGTGCCGGCGCAAATATTGCCTACAATGTGGCGGTGAGAGTAGCAACGCCGCCGTTGCCGTTGAAGGGGCTTGTTTTGATACAGCCGTTTTTCGGAGGGGAGGCGAGGACTGATTCGGAGAAGTACATGGTGCAGCCGCCGCGCTCCGCCCTGACGCTGGCGGCGTCCGATACATACTGGCGGCTGTCGCTGCCTGCCGGAGCTGACCGGGACCACCCGTGGTGCAATCCGGCGGCGGCGGGGGAGCTGCCGGCGGCGCGTGTGGGTGTTTTGGTGTGTGTGTCGGAGATGGATATATTGAGAGATAGGAATATGGAGTTTTGTGAGAGGTTGAGAAATAATATGAAGGGCTGTGGCGGTGGTGGCGGCGGCGGCGGTGGTCGGAAAGTAGAGCAAGTGGTGAGTAAAGGTGTTGGGCATGCATTTCAAATTCTAGACAAGTCTCCTCTCTCCCAAACTCGAGTTCTTGAATTGATTTCTCATATCAACAATTTCATTATTAGTACATGTATGTAGCACTTAACTAACTAGTGCAGTTAGTTTCTTGCAAGTTTTATTTGTGTTTTAATATTTTTGCAAGTAAATATATATCTATAATCGAAAATATTTATTATAAGTTTTATTTTTATTAAATTCATTAACAAGATTGGTACCAAATTTTGATTAATGTCAAATTTAGGGTTATTAGTACCTTAATTACTTTTTTATTTTTATCATAATTTTATTGTTTTTATAGTATTTTTTTTTTCCTCTTTTGATTTTCGTAATACCCCGTCTCGTGTTAGTTATACATGCAAATATTTCGGACTTTTATGGTGAACTTGTGCTAGAATTGTTATATATATATATAATAGTAGATCTTTTCGTAAGAATCAGTCACACATTTGTCACTAACTCCGTTACTCATTGTTACGGAAGCCCTGTTTATTGGTAGTGAGTAGGCCAATCAAACTCACAAATATAATTGTGTTGAAAAACCCGAAGGGTTTTACGAAGTACGTAATTGAGACAGTTTGTGTTTGCCAAAACACCGCAAATGGCAGACACGTTCGATAACTGGTCGAAAATGGTGTCTGATCTTCCATTATCTGTTTTGTGCTTTATAACTTGCTAAATGAACCCCCAATGTTAAGAAAGAGTACAAATTTTGGGTTAGGTGCAAATTTAACTAATATTAAAAGTATTTGAAAACAAAAAATTAAAAATCAAACATATATATTGTATCCAGATATCATGATAGACTTAAAATTACCATAATTGAGATGTTGAATTTAAATGTTTTGAACTCTTGTTAAACCATCAATGTCAGATGGCTTGCCAGGTTTACAAGTGACGTGGACAAAACTATCCATCATATTTCGATACAACGAATATATATACATACATACATACATATCCAGTGAACTTCACGAGATATTGAGAAACGAAAATTGCGATGATCATAATGGGAGCTATATAAGTAAAATTTAACAATTTCAAGTAGCGACACATAAGAAGCCTAAAATACGATTTCAAGGGTTAAGACTGCTTAATCTTTTACAGATCAAGAGTGAAACTAGCCTTTAACACGAAGGTGTTTCAAAAATGGGAAAAAAAGAAAAAAAAAAACTACAAATAACAGAGTGAAAAACATGTAAGATATTAATTCGATCCAAACAAATCAGATAACACTATGAAATACGAAACATCGACGTAGAGAAGTAGCTGTCTAGGTGGACATCATGGAATGATCGATGGACTGAAGTGCTTGGTTTGCGAAGAAACGGACGTCCACATCAGCGTCCTCGGACAGCTCTACCAAACTTGGTCGTATAGATGTCTCCACCACCTACGTAGCAAGCAGAAAAAATAATAATAAATAAATATATACATATATATGTATATATATATACACGCGCAGGCACAAATGAATGAGATGTTAATAGTTTACTACTCACGGATTGATCAACGATAGGAATCATGGACTGCAACACCTTAGCAACGTTAAATTTGATGTTTGGCACTCTGCAAAAATAATGCGGTTCGGCTCGTTGTTATTATTAGTGAAGACTGAAGAGTGCAATAATGCAAACTCTGCACACAGCCCATATAAGACGAATATGAGAAAGGCAACAGCTAACCTGTCCTTTGATGCAGTAACAATTACAGGCAATAATTTAGAACATGTTATCTCAGACCCCATAACGGGAGCGAGTAACGAAATTGCCTGAAGAACTGTCATCCTGTACAAATAATGAGGGTTGTTTACCATATCTAAAACCTGCATCAACAAAACGAGAAAATGTTTTAATGTTTGAACAATGTCGAAATTTTAAAAAAAAAAGTATACTTATCTACAGAGAAATTTAAACCTGAGGAACTATATGCTGCATTGCCCACTCTGGACCGAATTCCTCTGCCAGACGCTTCAAATTATTAGCTGCAGCATCTCGGATAGAGTAAACCTGAACAAAATCCCAAAAACAAAATTGGTTTCTATTTTAATTATTTCCCTCATTGTGCATCAATTACAGTGAGGGGGTAATATACGTAAAAGATTTAGTATATCTTCATTGACTATACTGTAACTTTATTCGCAACAGAAATTACGAACTTAATAATAGGTTGATGATAGAGAGAGGAACAGGGAAAAGCCAATCAGAGATCATTCTTTTTTGATTTTCTCCATTTTAATTGCAGACAAATAAAAGAAAGAAAGAAAAACTGTCGATGAAAAGATGACCTATTCTATGGAAAAAAAATATATCTAGAAAGAGAAACACCAACCTTGTCCTGTAGCCACTGCATGCAAAGGGCACCCAACTTATCATCGAAAAATCCAACTCCCAACTGACTGGCTAATAACGGTATGTACTCTATGATGGCAAGTCGAACCCTCCAATGCCTATCCTCTGCAAGCTCGACTATAGCTGGTAATAAAGATTGAGAGAGTAGATCAATTCCAATAACCTGCATCAGCAAAAAAAAAAAGAATAATAATAAATAATTGGCAGGTGAATGAAATGATACTGATTTGTATAGTACTTGAAATAAGAAAAGAGTCGAATGGAATAGCACATACCTGATTGACTTGATCTAGCTTGCTGATAATATTGAGGCGAACATCGGGAAATTCATCTTTCAAGAGAGATAGAAATATGGGAAGAAGTTGCTCAATTGTTGCATCCTGCACCAAACCAGAAAATCCCAAAGTTCAAATTTCGGTGCAATCATGTGGAAAGTAAATAGAACTTCTACACCTCATTGTGTAGGGATAAAACGAAGTAACAAGAAATTATTATAAAAAAATATTTGCATCGAGAGTGTTTGTTTACCTTTCCAAGAACCGGAGCCATTCCCATAATGACAGACGCCAAAGCAGACCTTACGTGCTGTGAAGAATCAGATGATAATTCCTGCAAGAGATTCCCAATATAAGATAGGTTATCAGATAGGACAATACATTAAGTAACTAAAGATAAATTCAGCTAGATATCACCATCAAAGATACCTTTACACAGGGAAGAATATGCTGAATAGCAAGTTCCGGACTAAGAATCCGAGAGAATTTTGTAACTTTTCCGGCAGCTGCTATTCGCACTTCTGCTTCATTGTCTCGAAGTAGGCGCACATAAGCAGGTACCAAATCCGTCCTTGAAGAAAATATAATCATAGTAGGTGGTATATTTCAGCATAAAAACAACTTAATCCAAGGGAAAAAAAAAAAAAAAAAAAGAAGCTAAACATAAATTTTAACTATCGTCACTAGTAACAATTCTGATCTCCGAGTAGGAACCCTGATATTAGCAAGCACATGTTAACAATTCAGCTCATCATTTAGCCATGTGACATTAAAATAAATTAGATAGTATCCCAAATTTAGAGACACGTGAGAGATAACATCATATGAGGTGCAGCAACATAATAATTATAGAAGCAGTGTACCAGACATAAATCGCTACCTAGTAGGTTCAGGTCCCACGGCCTCGCAAAGCTCATACAGCTGATTCGCAACCATGTACCTAACACGCCAAGACTTATCCTGATGCATACAATAGGAAAGTCAAATTAAAACAGTGGCGTGAGGGAGTTAACAATAAAAGAAGCAGCAAGATCCATTCGGTCGGAAAAAATAAGCATTTCCAGTTGAGACTTGTCTTTATTTATGTTTATATGGCAACATTTCATGCTAAAAAAGGATATGGATAGTAACTGTTGACCCAAAATCAATAAGCTACAATAAAATAGAACTACTGATACAAGGAAGGATGATCAGAACTGTTCCAACTACATAGCTTAAATAAATTAGTATATAGAATTTCCACGGCAGAATAAAGGATGCATCGACAATAACTTACATATTCAAATAACAAGAAAAATTCCTCAAGAGCAAGTAAAAAAGAACAAAAGAAAATGGTTACAATGATGATATAGCAGGTCCAATATCATAACTAGACAAGCAATGTAATTTGATTATATACCTGCGAGAAGTTGACAATTACAGGGAGAATATGGGCAACGCAATCTTGAGGCTCCAACAACTTGGCCCAGAGGCAGCACAGCCCTCAACAGCTAGTAAACGAACAGAATCTTGATCTGGAAAGAGCATTTAAAAGTTATTTAGTTTCCAACAGCACCGCCTATCATCTTAGTTTCCCAACTAGAGTAACAGGCCATCATTTAGTTTCCAGATGTCAATCTTTATTTTTACAAAATGGATGGTTGCTTCAGTTCAAATTCTTTTAAATATTTACTTCCTACTGCTTCTTCACTTGTTTTCTAACAATAATATGCTATCTCTTTCTTTCGATATATCCACATTGTTAAGCAATGTGAAATAATTAAGAGAGGGTGTATCCATATAAACTAACAAGTATGCTACCAACTATGTGATGAAGAACAGCCCATACATTGGAATACAAAGGTTGTATGGCAATTAAAGAAAGGATGCAAGGAGAAGGGATAAGAAGGTTTGCACAATCTAGCTTTCAGGCTCTCTAAGGAAAACGCTTAACCAGAAAGAGTTTATTTAAAAGTTTGGAGCTGTAATATTTCAAAAACTGTTTCATAACTAAATCTCGTAGTTCATTTTGCAACAAACATTTTAAATCTTTAAGGATTAAATATGAAAAGACTCGAAATTTGATATACCATCATGTGTAAGATCCTCAAACAAAGACATGATATCAGTTTTCAGATGAGCAGCTTCCACGGTGGCAGCAAATTTCCCCAAATTTGTTGCAGCAGCCCTTCTCACCATAGGCATATCATCTTGACACAATTGGCTGTATATTGACCTTAATTCTGTCTTTAACATATCTGGGGCACTCGTGTAAGCAATATGAAATAGTCCGCAAGCCGAGACACGGGCTGTAAACCACTCACCAGCTGCCAGCCTCTGTAATTTAAAATGGAATCAAGTCTAATCAAAATTAATACATAAATAGCGAAAATGTGAGATTTGGGAATGGCAAACATTTGACGATCAAAGAACTCGTATATGCATGCTTAAAGAAAAAAGAAAACAACTAGACCTCTACATGATAAAGCTTAAAAGCAACCACTATTGAAGATAGTAACGATGACCAGAACCCAAAATCCTCTAAATGAATTGCTTGCAGTATTTTACCTGAGGTGATAACCCCAAAGAACAAATTATGCTATTTATGTAATCCCACCCAGGTCTTAATCATACGCATCACCAAGAATTTAATTTGGCTATACGAAAAAACCACATAGATTTTTAGAAGAGTTGCAGAATTGCTGTATTATCAGCCTATTGTGTGCGTTTAAAAATTATAAAAATAACATTTTGGTGGTAAAGAATGAATAAGCACAACTAAAACTTCATTAAGTGTAGATACTGATAAAACGATCAATCACATACCTAAGACAATGTATTATTTAGATGTTACTATACTCAACTACAACATCAAATGTTGGTAGTCTTTAAATGGATGGAAACACAACAGTTACACGCTTATGGAGTTAACTAGGACGAGTATTGTTAATAACAGTATTTTATATCTCTTACAAGGTACTAAACACTTGGAAGACTTCAAATGAATAAGCATAATTTCTTCACACTTTCTCACTTTCAACAGAAGTAGTACCTTCAAATCGGAGTTTATTGTTTTGAAATGAATAAGCATAATTTCTTCACACTTTCTACTATGAATAGAAGTTGAAACTTCAATATGGATTTTATCGTTATTATCTCTTTTAGGATGTCTCGAAATGAAGTTCAATTTATTAACACAAAAATAGTTGGATAAATGAAACTGCCTGCTTTGACTATTTGTAAGCATTCAAGTAATAATTTATTTTCTTAATTTTATTAATTGTTATTCTTTACGAAGTTAGAAACTGCAAGTATTATTTCATAATTCAATAATTATTAGGTCTTTCGTATTATTTACACAAAGCACATAATATTTGAAAGCTATTCAAAATCTTGGGGAATTTTGAAATATTGATGGAATCTTAGGAAATGCTGAAGAGATTCCAAATTTTCAACGAATCTTGTAAAATGATTTGAGAAACTATCCTCAGGTAATCAGTATACTTTTTCATGTGATTTCACTTCCCATACTTCAAACAACAAACGTAAACAATTTACGTAGGGGTTATGAAACGAACGTAACTCAGCAGTACGGAGATCATCTATTATGTAACAGTGGCGTTCAACGATGATAAGAAAAAAGAGCAAGTTAAAGGGTTACCTTCACAAGAGGAATAAACCAGTCGACCAAATCACTCTCCCTCATCTGCGATCCGATTCTGCACAACGACTCTACAGATTTGTCCCTCACACAGGTCTCCTCCACAGTACATAGTGTTTCGAGAGGAGGAAGCAACACATGAGCATGCTCCATTCCTCCAACGTAAGGAATAAAAACACCCAATTCTTCAGCCGTAGCAAGCAGCACCTCGTCTTCGTCGTCGTTGTTCTCGCACAAGAAAGGAATCAACTCCTTCCGAGTCCTCTCCTCCCCAAGTGCTCGTGCAATGGTGGACAGTCTGCGTATCGAGTTCAACCGCAGTTGAATGTCATCGTTCTTTAACTCATCAACGAGTACCGCTATCGGATACAATGGCTCCTCCATCGACATTTCGTCAAAGTAACTTCTGGATAACTACAAGCTTCATCAGAACATTTAAGGGAAAACGGAAAAATCAGCAGAACGAATTCATACGGTAAATAAGGCATAACACAAATCTCGACGAGGGTAAAGTATAATCAAAATTGAATCTTGATTTAACAAACCCTAAGGAAATACTAAAAATTGTACTGAAAAATGAATTGCATATCCGGATCTTAAAATACCCCAATAAAATTAAGCCTATATCTTAATTAGAAATATATATTCAGGCGATCGCATAAAAGAGAGGTAATTCAATTTTCTCCAAAGAATACTTGCGAATGCCAACCCTTGTTTCCGATTCAGAAATTGGGAATGAGTAAAGTTATAATTCTGCAAAAAATCGAGCATTATACACAACAGGGAATTGGGAATTGATCCAGTAAATCTCGCAAGATTAATCAAAGGAACAACAGATCGAAAATCAAGTGGAAAAAAAATCTAAGATCTGGGCCAAAGCCAAGGATTTGAATCCCCAAATAGAAATAAAAACAAATAAGCAAAAAAAACAAAATCAGCAGTCAGCACGCAAGAAGCTGAAAGTGCAGGTAATGATTAGATTTACCGGAGGCAATCAGTCTCGCCGGCTTCCCTCAGATTCGAAGGCTTTCTGTTAGAGAGAGAAACTAAGAGAGATGATATTTATGAATTTTCTATCGACTTTCGCGACCGGTGTTTTTCATTTTTTATTTTATTATTTTTCTAAATTACAACATAAAGAACAAAGAACAATGGACAGAATATTTTAAACTTATAACTATAATAAAATATAGTGGAGAAAATATTTGAGTCATTTGACAAATATAAAGTTAATTCTCAGTTCAATAAATTATTTGGAATTTGCAAAAAGTGTAAACAATAAGGACACTAAATATTTGAGTCATTTGACAAATATAAAGTTAATTCTCAGTTCAATAAATTATTTGGAATTTGCAAAAAGTGTAAACAATAAGGACACTAAATATTTGAGTCATTTGACAAATATAAAGTTAATTCTCAGTTCAATAAATTATTTGGAATTTGCAAAAAGTGTAAACAATAAGGACACTAAATATTTTATTTGGATAAAAGTTTATTGCTCATTAGTTTTATAAAATATACCTCTACATTTTTATTAATTAAAGATTCGTATGAACAATGATTCACATGAACAATGTCTGTGAGATGCACTTATAAGTTTTTCTGTGAGATGCACTTATAAGTTTTTTTTCTTTTTTTTATCCGCCAAAATTAAGCGATCGAATATGGGAGCGGGAATTAGAAAACTCTAACCAATAGTTCAAATAACTTGAGCCAAACTACACAAAACAGTAATTTCGAGACTACCATCATTTCAGTTACGACACTTGGAATATTGAAGTGTAGAACAATACCTCATTTATGACTTGCTCTAGGCTTTATTTTTACCGTTTATGCCCTTGTTACCCTTCTTACCTTTTTCACCCGGTGTTGATGAATAAGATCCCTTAGTTTTGCCTTTACATTTTCCTGCAGGTGTTGACGAGGATGAATCATTTGTTTTGCCCTTTCCACTGGTTGAAGAGGAGGAGGAAGCGGGCCAACCTATCATGCTGGGCTCGTCAACTCGGCATTTTGCGGAATGGGCAATTTGGAGCTCCTACCTGAAAGTGAAGAGAATATTACACTTGTCGAACCAAAATTTTGTTCCCAAGTTATGCTTTTCCGAATGAACCACCTCTTTCATTCCTTCAAAATCATTCTGGCTTTTCGACATGCTTCAGTGTTGATCGGTGTCTTGTTGGTGATCTCTCTTCCTTTTCTCTTCTGATATGGTAGTAATGGCGCCTTGGGTTAAGAGATGAAAAGCTTTGGAAGGAGATGATGCACTTATAAGTTTATTGTTGAAGTTCTACCAATTTTCAGACAATTTTCGAAAACAGCAAGGGCCATAAATCGTATTTGTATTAAACTACTCGAGTTTTAGAAGTCTTCTCGTTCTTTAAATCGAGGTTTAAGGATTACTCACGAAGACTACAAATTACAAATGGCAATTTTCTCTCTCTATTTAATGATCAAATAGGTGTAAATATTTATGAGCTAGAACAATTAACAGTGAGGCTAAGATTAGAAACCAAAAATCAATATAGAATTGGAAATTTAAAACGTGAAATAAGTTTTAGAAAAAAAATTCATCACTAAAACGTAAATTAAAAAGAGGAGGGAGTATAATTTTCGAAAAAAAATTATAACTAAAATATTTGTTGTTATTTACATAAAGTTATTTTCCGTGCAACAAAACGGCTCATGTGGTAGACATGGCAATGGGTCGATTTCCGGCCCTGAATCGGCCCGTTGACTGGCGAAACCGTGTACCAGCCCGTGTCACTCGGGACGGTTCCAGTTCTAAAATAATGTGAATTGTGAACCACCGGGCCGAACCGACGGCTCATCCGGATTTAAAAAAAAAAAAGAAAAACAAAACAAAAAAGTTGCAATAGCTAATGAACCGGTGGGCCGGGCGATTTGAACCGGCGGTTTGGGCCCGCCGGTTCATCGAACGGGAATTAAATCAAAAATTTCAAATTCAACGGGTGAGATGGATTGACTTTTCGAGATCAATGGTCCGGATTAAACTCAAACGGTCATATTGAACCGCCTGAACCGGTGTGTGAACCACCTCAGCGTTGATGATGATGACGATCGCGATGAAGCGTACGTCGAAAGTAGCTTCAGCAAGTCGTGTTTCTACTCTATACATTCTGTCTAACGACGATTAAGGAGGTAAGTGGAGGTAAGAAAACTACGTGGACTTTGATTTCGCAATTTCGACATTTTATACATAATTTCCATCAACATCTTATACATAATTCGAATTTCGACAATCATAATGAAATACAAATTGGATGAAAAAAAATGTATAACTAATATCAACAAATTTGACATCTTATACGTCTACTATAAAATAAAAAAATAAAAAAAAATAAAAAAAAAACTTTAGGCCTTGAACCTAAAGGTACAGAGTCTTGCCCAATGGCCAAAGCGTCGTTCTTCCAAAAGCACGACATCGGGATCTGCGAACCCCGCTTCTTCACTGAGCTCCTCGAAGCAATCAACCACATTCTGAAGCCGCGCCACAAATTCAATCAGCAGCGAAGCAAACGTGGCCAACGACAACGCGCTGGCGCTCTGGTAAGTCTTCACTTCGTCTTCTTTGATCAGACCGGCTCCTTCGAACGAGATCCACGACGGCCACGGAACAAGCTTTCTCAGCGTTTGCGGTTTCTTCTTCAGATCTTTATTCGCCAAACTTTTGACGAATGTTAGAGACGAAGGTATGTGAATCGCTGCTTCGCTCTGCGATTTGAAGCCCAATTGCAGAGAATCGTGTTGTTGTCCCCTTTCGATCGAGACGACGTCGTCGTCCTGATAATCGAGCTCCGTGTTTGTGGGGTTTCCGATTTCCCAGTTTCCGGAATTGACGAGAAGAAACGATCTCTGGTCGATCTTCTTCTGCAATTGTTCGCCGGCCTCGTGCACTTGTTTGAGTATGTTTTCCGATGTACCTATTTTCTCCATCTTTTCTATTTTATCCCCCAGTTGGCGGAGAACTCTTGCCCCTTCCGCGCTGACGCTTTGCAGCTGGCTGCGGAAAATCTGCCTTTTCTCTGGCGGCGCCTACACATTTTGGAACAATTGCAAATTTCATCATTTTTAGATTGAATTTCGAAAGACGGTTTTGTGTTATGTTTTTTTTTTTTTTTTTTTATGAACAATTAGAGATTAATGGCATTTAACCCAATGCACATATTAAGTTCGATGAAATGACATATATGCATTTCAGCTGAAAAAACTGCAAACAAAGTTGCATAAGCAGCTCTAAGGATTTCATTTGCTTTTGAATTTTCGATCGTGTGACTTCTACTCTAATCGAACTAACACCGCGATTTTTTTTAACAATTCAAAATACGTATATTCACCTGGATCTCTGATAAAATGCATCCATGTAGTGCCATGACAGTATACGCGCAATGCCTCACTGCAGTGCTTACTTTGACATAAGTCGTCCATGGATGACCAAGTTTCTTGTACCGCCCATGTGGCGGTTCCCATACAGCAAACCCTAACTGCTCCAAAAACGATTTGTTTTGGGGATTAAGAAGATAGTTATTTTTTTATGCATAAAACATTTAAAAATATATACATATATATGTACCAATGTTTTTTCTTTGGTTGCAGATTCTATCACTGATTTATAATAGAGTTGATCCTCCGTTGCTTGAGTTGAAAACCTAGTCGGTGCTCTTTCGTATTCGACGTATTTCAAGTATCCATTCACACAACCTAATGATTAATCATGCTAAACCTTTTATAATTGTGGATAAAAAAAAATGAAATAAAAATTGTAGTTTATTTTATTTATGAATAGAATTAAACCTTCCAAAGAAGTAGCAAGGTCCTTGAAATTATTGACGACCAAGCTGTGCAAATCATCGCCAGACCAAATGGGGTAAATACTAATGTTGATGATGAAGCAAATACAAGCACCGACGGCAATAAGAACCAATCTAGTTAAAATTGCCGTTGTGTATTCCCTAGTTCTGTTCCCAGCCACCATTAGTATACAATAAGTCAGTACGAATACTCGGAATCCGTATTCGTACGGTGCCATTGTCGGATACAGTTTTAAGTACGATGCAATTGATCCTGCCCAAAAAAATCAAATTAAATATATTCTTTAAAATAATTAGTCATATATATATCGTGGGGTGTTGTGGAGTACTAACCAATGATGAAGAAACTTATAACGATTACGACCTTTTCACAATCTCCAGCTAGGATCGCCAGCTCAGCAAAGAGAAAGACGAGCATTCCAGCACAAAACGTACCCAATCCACGGTTGAACCCCTTGATGAAAGTTGCTCCTACATAAGTAAAGATTGCATATTTAAGGCAAAGCAAGAAATAAAAGAATTGTGTAGCTCGAAAAAAAATAACAAATCTCTATGTAAAATATTAATATTTTTGAGAAACGATGGGGGGTCATGGCCCCCGGTAGCCCTATGTTGGCTCTGATTATATATATAGTTACCTATACTAAACTCGAACATGACAATGACAGTGAGGATTGCCCAAATTGCGAACTGGGAGACGTCGGAAAGAGGGTCTTTCCAAAATATTAACAATGATACAACGGCCAACGCGAAGCCATTCTTGACGGCATATATTATTTTCCGGGGGTCTTTTCTTCCCATTTCCAATGCTTTCTTGAAGAAACCCCAATAGTCGCTCCATAGCTGCACAACCCTAACGCGCAACGAATGGAAACTACTCTTTTCATCGTTGAAACGATGAAACAGAAGCAATTTCTCTTTGCTCATGTTTTTTTGGCATGCAATGGAACCTTTTGTTTTTAAATAAATGTGGTAATATATAGTTATTGAACGAATGGTTTCTATGTGTTAGTCTCTTAATATATAATCAAAAGTTTAGATCTGATACATTTATTAATATTTAATAGTGTATTATTATTATTATTATTATTATTATTATTATTATTATTATTATTATTATTATTATTATTATTATTATTATTTTTAAAAAATCTGTGGAGGGAGGGAATTGATAAGGATGTTTGAGGCCTAGGATCACACCGTTTGGTGATTCACACGTACATTTATCTTGAATAGAAGAAATCATGCAATAATGCTCCCGTAAGTCACGTTGCTATATGTTAAATATCTCTATCAACTATTTATTAATTAAAGTAAAACAAAAAAAAAAAGAAAAAAAGGTTGTCTGGTCTTAATAATGATTTTGAAGATGGTAATAATTATGATTTTTGAAGATGGTCATAATTATGATTTATGTATTGCTGGCAGGCACCTGAATATATATTTATGTGTAAATTACGGCCACCCCTCAAATAAGGTCAAATTACGGAGAAAAAAAAAATCATATTTGGATAATTGCAATTACTCTCGTCAATTATGAATGGTCTTAGACGTCACCTTTATGGTGTCAAATTCAACATAATCTTCTAAATTCTGTAGAATGTTCAGTAGTTTAATTTGTACTCGTTTTAATTTGTGCAAAAATACAGTTTCTGATGCACTCAATCTGATATTTACATGACACAAGACGCATTTTATGATCATCTTGTTTCTATATGTGGATGATCATCTTGTTTTTATATGTGGAACTCGAATAAGATACAACGGTACAAACTGAATAATATTTGTCATAATTCAACAATCAATATATATATATATATATATATATATATATATATATATATATATATATATATATATATATATATATAATTATTGGTATCCATGCTTTAATTTTGAATAAATAATGAAATGGTGGTAGGCCTGTTGTAAATATTGGCCACCTACACGACGCCCCACAGTGTGACTTAATTGATGAGTTAAGAGTACCAAAAATATCATTCGATTCGAGTTCGAATTTTTTATTTTTATGTCAATATTGTTTATATCGAATTAATCGAAACGGACAATGACGCTGTCGTT